CATCGAAAAGAACGTAGATTAATCAGCTACAATCAAATATAGATTCTTGAGCTGAAGATGTAATTAGGAAAAGTCGTTGGAAGTGGATAAGACATACATCACGGAAATAATCAAACTGCACCACGAGGTAAGTCCTAACTTGAAATCCTGAAGGGAAGTGGAAAAACGGAAGTCCAAAGAACATACTGTATCGAAAATTAGAAGAAGACATGAAAAGAAGAAAAGCAACTAGAAACAAGTGGAAACGATTGTCCAGGACAGAGTTGGATAAGAAATGCTGATGGGTAGCCTATGCTTCGACACAAAAGGTAACAAATGCAATTCAGTAAGCAAAGTAATTCCCTTCAAATAAGATCAGCCTGTAATATGACGAAAACTATTTTAATTTTTCTCATCGTTTCATTTTCTTTAAAAACTCCCAATGAATGGGGGGAGGCAGGAAAAATGTTTTAATTCTATAAAACACATATACTTTATAATTATTTGTATGACAACATACTAAAGACCTAATAATGTAAATATGTAGATTAAGTACTTTACATTTTATATTCTAATCTAATAATTCAAAAAATAGTTCACTTCTATGATTATAAACCAATGAATATTCCACTAAGATAAAAAATTACTTCCTTAATAATATTAATATTAACAGTTGTCTACGCAAAATACTTCGGGTCTGTTGGCTGGACACTATATTAGCAACAACCTATTGTGGGAGAGAACAAACCAGAATCCAGTGGAGGAAGAAATCAGGAAGAAGTGATGGAAGTGGATAGCACACACATTGAGGAAAGCACACAACTGAGTCACAAGACAAGCACTCACATGGAATCCTCAAGGCCAAAGGAGAAGAGGAATACCAAAGAACACATTACGCCGGGAAATGGAGATAGACTTGAGAAGAATGAACAATAATTGGATGGAATTGAAAAAGAAGGCCCAGAACAGAGTGGGTTGGAGAATGTTGGTGGGCGGCCTATGCTCCATTGGGAGTAACAGGCGTAAGTAAGTAATATATTACATAATCAACAAAATGATCTAATTAAATCACTGATCGGTAGTTTTTTGATTATTTAGTAAAAAAATAAAACAAGTAAACAATTAGAAACGAAAAAAATTAATAAAGATATTTACATAAGATTTGCAATTGTAAAACTCAGTTTAGTTTCATTTAAACAATGTAGAAAAAAGAACTTTATGGATAAATATTTTCATCAATATCAGTATAGGGATTGTGAAGATTATTAAGTTTCTTTTGATTGAGATCATGAACCGATTGATATTAGACCACTATTGAAAACCTGGAAGAACTAGACGGTTATTTTGTCCTATTGTAGGACTCCTGTGCAATGAGTATCCACGATCCTGCCTCGCAAGATTCGAATCCATGACCTATCGGTCTCTCGTGCAAACGCCTTATCGCCAAACCACTGAGATGGCCGGCATCCAACAGTGTTAATGTCTAACTTCAACTAATCCACGAAATTGAGCGACACATCCAACATTGCCTTCAGTGAATTATTATCTCATAACAGACCAGGTTGAACTCTACTGATCATTTTTTTCGGAGCATAGTCAATTACACTTCAAACACTGATAATCATTTTGCTTAAATTTACATTCATTATTGAAAATGATTTTAGTTTTAATTTGTTTTAACTCATTAATTATTTTTTTTCTGGAAATCGATTGTATTTATGTGTTATATAACAATAATTTACAATTTATGAATAATTGAAACTATTAGGGAACTTATGAATTACCATAAAATCGATTTGTAGATTTTTCCCTTTTTTTCCCAACTGTCATTTGAAGAAACAAGAAGTGATTGTAATAGGATTTTTTTTGTTCATCATGTATATGAGAGAATAAATAGAGAGATACCATGCAAGCAAGGTATGTTGGAGATATATAAAAAATAAATATGATTACGAGAAAGCATTTGATAGAGTGGACAAGACAACACTATGGCTTCCTCAACACTACGGTGTGCCTGAGAAGACAGTCAATGTCATGTGGAATTATCATGATGGATTAAACTGCAAAATCGTGCATGGAGGACAGATGACAGATTCGTTCAAGGTAAAAACCGGTGCTTACTCTCACCTTCTCTCTTTCTCCTGGCGATCGACTGGGTCATGAAGACGTTAACGTCTAGAAAGAAGCATGGGATACAGTGAACAGATAGGATGCAGATGGACGATCTACACTTCGTAGATGATATGATTCTTCTATCGCACATGCAACAACAAATATAGTAGTAAACAACCAGTGTGACGGCAGCCTAAGCAGCAGTACGTCTCAACATACACAAACGGAAAGGCAAGATTCTCCTAAACAACACAAAATGCAACAATCAAATCACACTTCACGGAGAAGTTTTGGTGGATGCAAAAACCTTTACATATCAGGACAGCATCATTGATAAAAACGGTGGATCTGATGCAGATGTGAAAGCGCGGATCGGTAAAGCAAGAGCGGTATATTTACAACTGAAGAACATCTGGAACTCAAAACAACTGTCTGTCAATCAACACCAAGGTCAGGATTTTCAATACAAATGTCAAGACGGTTCTACTGTATGGGGCGGAAATATGAACAACTACGAAAGTCATTATCCAGAAGGTACAAGTGTTTATTAACACTTGTCTACGCAAAATACTTCAGATGCGTTGACCAGACACTATTAGCAACAACCTACTATGGGAGAAAACAAACCAGATTCCCATGGAGGAGGAAATTTAGAAGAAACGCTACAGTTTATTAGCGAATAATATAAATATCGAAGTTACAAGCACATCGAGCGAATTCAGAGCAGAGACTAATGTGTGCGAGTGTTCTAGCAAATATAGAGGCAAATTTATAGTCACATCAAATCAAGACGCAACGAGGCAAGTCAGTTAATAAGATTCAACTATACACATTTACAAAAAAATAGACAAATTGCTACTGTTTGGATAACACTAACTGCTAAATAAATTAACCATAAACAAAACTGATTGTACGGGAATATAAATCATCATATTTTTTAGTCATTGAGTCCTAAATATTTCTGCTTGTTATATGAGGCAAATATCTTTTGACAGAAGTTTGTGTTGATTAAGTCGTTCAGAAAAACAATAAAAGCTCCACAACCAAACCATCTAGCTTAGAGAATAAAACTTCAGTAAATATCTTTTATTAAATCATGTAGTATGTTATAAGTGAACTCTATTGAGGAGTTTCGAACTGGTCAGAAACACTTGTTCAGTGTTTTTTTAACTTTCATGCAAATTCTAGTTCATACCACTTGTTACAAAGAATCCCAAGATCAGAGATTAGGTAAGTGGTGACGACAATTAGAACTATACAACGTCTATAGATTATAGTCAAACATTAATCGAATTCCAGGTTAATAGAACAACCTGTTTGGCAGTCGGATAGAAACTCTAATATCTCACTTTTTTATCAAATATTCTGAAAATATTTTCTGCACAAACAAGGAAAACCTCACTTCGAGACCATTGAATATCACATCTCTAAACAAACAATACAGATTTTTAAGCAAAAACGGATTGTGGTTAGCAGTAAAACCCAGGACGTGCATTTCATCCGATTTGGAACTCAGTTGGTGTTAACTCTGGGACTCGAACACAGTACCGTTCACTTCAAACGCCATCGCGTTACCTCGGCGTGAACACTAACTCTGAGATGCAGATACATCCAGCTGACAGATCCTAAATAGGACGAAACGCGCATCTTGGATTCCACTGCTGGCCGCTATTCATCTTTGCTTAAGAATCTCGTGAATTAAGATAATATCGAGTCGATCCGCACAGTATGCACATATGCCAAAAACAGACTGATCAATTGCAGTTCTAAATAACAATGGGAAGATGCAAGTAAAACAACACCAAGTGGATTTAAACAATACAGATATTTTCATATAATCAGAGACCTGAAACATAGACTGAAATTGCTTTCATTGCAAGAACATATAAGAATTCTAGAGCTATTCCAGCATGATTTTTACAGATATATACAAAAATAAAATGCTTGATTTCACTACATTTGACTTGATTAATTATACACTAATATAAATATTCTGCATAATCAAACAGTCAAAAACAATAAACATACATTCCAAGTTCAAGAATATAAGGGAGACTATAATTTCTGAGCGAACCAGTCAGATATAAGATAACAGGTCTCGGATTTTGGCGCGAAATTCATTCACCCATTTGGAAAAATAGAGTTTTGGTATTATTATAGTTGATGTCAGTTCGTGATGAAAACATTAAATCTAATTCTTAACACTAACCATCAACTGTAAATCATAATGTTTATTGTTCAAACTGCTTTACAACCCTCATTTGATCCTAGTTATTAGGTGGACACTCTCAAGATCATTTTAGCATCGCTCAAACGTAGTCCATAAATTATAATCTCACCGAATTTATATTACAAGCTATTTCCCTTTCAATGTATATTAATCAAGTTATATAACAATCAAGTTGTCATTATATGAAGTGTTAAAATTGATTAAAATACCTTACTTAGATCAGAATCCATTAGTGAAAAGTTGATATACAGCATAATTTGATAAAACGTTGTATATAAGAAAAGAGAATAAGAATTATAAGATAAAGCGACTTATTAAAAAGTCTTTATTTTCTCTAACACTGATTTTCTAATAAAAAAAAATGAACCTCCATATGAAAAACTAGTATGACGGAACAAAGTAGGATTTTCTTGGCACTTCTGAAGTTCTTAATGGAGCTTTGAACACTGAAGTTAAAATACGACAGAAGTAAATCAGTTAACTGTTTAAGTGCTCGCGCGCGAAACCAGTATGTCGTGGTTCTGAATCTCGCAGGGTGTGAAGTTGTGGATGCGCACTGCTGAGGAGTCCCATACTAGGACGAAACGGTCGTCCAGTGCTTCCAGGTTTTCCATGGTAGTCTAGCTTCAATTGTCTCATGATTTCAAACAATGAAACGAAAAATTCTTAATTATCTTACCTTCTCAAAGTTGATAAATCATTATTACTAGCAGCAAATAATAATGTAGTAACTGCATCTGTTCGATAAGAATCACGTGGTTTCCGTGGATCAATTTTTTTATCATAATGTAAATGACTTTCATAATGATGAAGGATAAATTTATGAACAAGTTCCTAATTGTATGAAAAGTGTTTCCAGGATGATCATAAATATGTAAAACAAAAAAAAGAGAGAGAAAAAATGAAAAACAATCAATTACTATTGTAGTGAACAGAACATGAGTGGGGACAATCGAATTATATGTAGCACAAAATTACAGAGTTAATTGGTAAAATAGAAAAAACCGTACTATAATACTTAATTAACAAAATGTTTAATAATTGTCTCAAACTTCGTTGTTCTTGCATTTCTATATTAATTGCTTTCTATTCCCGCTCTTCCTTTCTTGATCTTCTCCATTTTCTGCTGCCAGACATTACCTTCTTGACTCATGTCATATACTACTTATATCAATATAAGTAGCACGCACCATACTATGATATAGTTACTTCATATTTTTGACATTATGCAAATTTGTGATTGATAGGCAATCAATTTTTACTGTTTTGTAAATCGTCTGCAAAGTGAATTCACACTCGATATATGGCTCAATGCAGAACGATATTTAGACATGTAAAAATAAAATCATTTCACAAGTTGAAATCATGAGTCAGTTGAAGCTAGACCACTATTGAAAACCTGGAAGCACTGAACGGCCGTTTCGTCCTGGTATGGGACCCCTCAGCAGTGCGCATCCACGATCCCGCACCACGAGGGGCTCGAACCAAGGACCTACTGGCTTCGCGCGCGAGCACTTAACCACTAGACCACTGAGCCGGCATGCAAATGTGTTAATGTCTAACTTCAACCAATCCACGAAGTTGCACCACCGTACACCATTGTCCTCAGTGAGTTGTTATCTCACAACAGACCGGTTGAACTCCACTGGTAATGGCTTCTCACTAGAACTCCAGGAGCTTTTCCTGAAGTCAGTCACTAGTGAGCAGTTGATTATTATCAGAATGGGTTTTGTGGAGAGTTTAAGAAATTTCACAAGTTGAAATCATGAGTCAGTTGAAGCTAGACCACCATGATTTCAACTTGTGAAATTTCTTAAACTCTCCACAAAACCCATTCTGATAAAATCATTTATTTATTTATTCATATAGTTAGGTGTAAGCCATACATTTCATATGAGTTGATGATATGACATGACTAATTTATTGTATTTAATGTTACAGTTCTATGGAATAATATGAACTTCGATTGTGTAGTGTCAATTACATTATAAAGCCAATATAACTTATTCTAGCTTCTGAACAAGCCAATCTATTCATTCTTTTTTAGTTACATTTTGACCTTGTTAATTATTCACTCAATAACCATGACTGTTTTTATGTAAGCGCATGTGTATGCATTTCTTATCATACTCATCAAATGCCTGTAACTTTTGTTTTTTTTGGCTATAAATATAGATTCACGCTTAATTAAACCTAGTTGGCTCACATACCTTCTCCACTGAGCGTCATTTCGCATCGCTCTTCCTTCTTTGTTTCATCTCCCTGATTACCTTTTCAAATCAATGAGTGCATGAAATAAACATACTCAAAATCCATTTCCGTATTTGCCTTAGTTGACGATTCAAATCCCGTAGTGGTAGAGGTAGTAAGATTATAAGCAGTAATAGGGAAGATTAGGGTTTGGAAATGTTATTTAAAGAGTATAATCGAGTGAAATAAATTTGAAAAGAGAAAAAAAAGAGACAAGGGGGATTCCGGATATTAGAATTTGGAAGAACACAAAGAGTGTATGCACCTGTGCCATTCCAAACGATTTTGAGCCATGCCATTCAGGGTCTCGCGGTCCCCAACCAGGTAGTCTACACCTACCAACATGGCTCAGTCCACTTGTCAATGACTTCATGGACTGATGTCGTGTTTTGGTCTGGCCGCCCCTAGCTTTCTTCCAACCCACTCCTATAACATTGAACACCGTACACTATTCTTCAACGTGAGTTAAATCAATCATAATATAAGAAGATAGCCAACATTCATACGATCCAATTACTGTCAGATATTGGGTCACTAAAACTTACCCTTAATATAAATAATGTATCAAATTATTTATTTACTCATTTATTTAAACACATAAACATAGGTACAAGAAGTCACCAAATAGATTTGCGCCACACAAATCGAATGATTTGTGTGAGGGCTAGGATAGGACCCGGGTTCCCAAACCGAAGCGGGTGGTTTTCTTAGAGGGCCACAGCCGGAGCCTTTGACCTGAAGGTCTGATTCACAAGGCAGTAGAGCAACGTCAGGAGATGCAGTCCCATGGTAGCCGGTGACCAACAATTGGTTCATATGACATTTTTTTTCCTTAGGATCCTGGAGCTCATGTGCACCATTGATTGAGAATCAGGGTTTTCCAAATCCCCTAGGTGAACATTTCGTGTCCACCAACCAAGTTAAAGCGCCGGACATTCGCTTTTCATACTCTCAATTTCGTAAACAACACCCCCGCCACGAGAAGGCAGTGAAAAGGACTTCCCCGGAAGTGATTACATGCACGTGCCCATGTGAGAGCATTTCGAGAGGGAGAGCTCATTTTCCCCACTCTTGACCGTACCAGAGTATTAGAGGGTATACATCAAATAGATATAAACGAAATCTTTTATTGTTAAAAAAACTACCATGTGAACTAATATATAAATGAACTCTACTTATAAAAATTAATCCAATTAACGTAATTATAACGTGTTTAGACGAATCTCATAGAAACTGTGAATATTTCCAGTCATCTTAAACATTAATTAAGTCATCAAGATCTTCCAGAAGACAAGACCTAGTACATAATTGAATTAAATAAAATAATTCACTAATAAACTAAATATTAAAAAATAAATAATTAAATTTATTTAAAAAGTTAATAAAGTGAAAACTAAATAGATCTAAATAAAAAAATATATGAAATCAGAATATCAGTAATTGAGATCATGATTCGATTGAAGCTAGATCACCATGGAAAACCTGAAAGAACTAGATGGCTGTCTGGCACTATTGTGGGACTCCGTAGCAGTGTGAATCCACGACCTTGCCACGCAGGATTCAAACCCAGAACTTATTAGTCTCGAACGCGAGGGCCTAACCACTAGACCACTGAGCTGGCCGGCATCAAACGGTGTTAATGTCTAACTTCAACTAACCCCCAAAATTGAGCAACACATCCATCATTTTCATCTGTGAGTTACTGTCCCACAATTGACTCGGTTGAAGTCCACTGGTCACTGCTTCTCAGTAGAACTCCAGGATATACATCTTGAGGCCAGTTAGTAGTGACCGTATGCTGGGTTTTATCAGAAGGGGTTTTGTGGAGATTGTAGTAATTTCAATATTAAAGATTCCCATTGTGAAAATTAGAACAACACATATAAGCGAACAATTGTTTTCAATTAGATCGTCATCAGGCTTTACTCTAATATACATGAATATTTATACGAAAATGTTAAACCAATCAAGGCAATATGAGTCAATAATCACAATGAAATAAAATAAGTCTCTAGGTAAAAGTACAAGTTGATAGTAGGAAGACAGGTGAACTGATAATAGTGAGAATAATAAAATACAATAACAAAACTCTTATCAATAATTAAACGTTGGAAATAGAAGGTCAAATAAACATGGGTAAATAGACTAGGAATAGTAATCACAAAACATTAAAATCATTACGTAATAAGATGTGTGTAAATAATTAGATAGTGCTCCTGTGGAGATAGCTATATAGGGCGTACTACCAGGCAACTTAACCAACGAATGAGTGAACATCTACCAACTTGGTACATAAAGGGCCAGAGGAAATCTATTCGGAGTTCTATATTGGCACATCTTATTGATAGCGGTCATGCAGTAGATAAATCGAAATCTTTTCGAGTTATCTATCGTATACCTCCATCATTTCCCGACGGAGTCCGTTCCCGTCTCCTATATATAGCTGAAGCCATTGGAATTCGTACATATAACCCCAATTTATGTGTACAGAAGAAATACGTGACCCCCCTATCCCTTCCATGGCCAGTTATAACTTAACTAACAATTCTTTTTATTTATTTATTTTATTTTATTATTATCCTTATTCATTTTATTTTATTTGTGTTATCATTGACCTTATTTTCACATCCATTATTTGTTTGTAATTTTCCGCCTCTTTGTATTCTTCACTATCTAATTATTTACACACATCTTATTACGTAATGATTTTAATGTTTTGTGATTACTATTCCTAGTCTATTTACCCATGTTTATTTGACCTTCTATTTCCAACGTTTAATTATTGATAAGAGTTTTGTTATTGTATTTTATTATTCTCACTATTATCAGTTCACCTGTCTTCCTACTATCAACTTGTACTTTTACCTAGAGACTTATTTTATTTCATTGTGATTATTGACTCATATTGCCTTGATTGGTTTAACATTTTCGTATAAATATTCATGTATATTAGAGTAAAGCCTGATGACGATCTAATTGAAAACAATTGTTCGCTTATATGTGTTGTTGTAATTTCAATAGTTGAGATCATGAGTTAATTGAAGCAATTGAAGTCAATTGAAATCAAAATAGTAAAGTAAGTAGTAAGTAAGTAGTATGTTAATTACTGATTAGTCATACAAGAGATCGATCGCTATCTGAATAGCTCAATAGTAAATTTATAAATTACGGAGGTAAATAATGAAGATTTATATTCTAATGAAAGCATCAGTTTTTCAAAATAATGAAATCTAATTAAACTCGAACCTAATTCCTTCCTACTACTTGCAACCGCATAACAGCTGGTAATTATAATATCTGGACCAACTACATACTCATTTACATACCTAATTACATACACCTGTTACTTTTAATGGAGCATAGGGCACCGACCAGAACTCTCCAACACACTCTGTCCTGGGCATTCGTTTCTAGTTCCATCCAATTCTTGTTCATTTTTCTCATGTCTATCTCCATTTCTCGATGTTATGTGTTCTCTGGTCTTCCTCTTCTCCTTTGGCTTTGAAGATTCTAGGTGACGCAGTTGAGTGCTTTCCTCAATGTGTGTCCTATCCACTTCCACCGCTTCTTCCTGATTTCTTCCT